AGGCTACCTCTATCTGTACCCTCCAGATCCCCTCAAGCAAATTGCTTCCACTGATACTGGGAGAATAACCATGTGGGAACTGGTATCTGGAGATATTCAAACAATTACATGAAGCAGAAGAGTTGATCAGTGATTTACCTGTAGGTAACAATAGGTTCTTTCAAATCAAAGTTGAAGAGAGTCTCCTATTCTGAGAAAAAATGCTCCCCAAATCCTTCTTATTAATTAGTGCAGTACTGCAAAGTGATTGCTGCAGCAGTATTTGCATAAGGGCAGAAATTGGGCATGAGTTGGGGATTTAGCTATTACTAAACAAGTAGGTAATGTCTCTACTGGGTTTTTTCCTGTATTTTCTCTTGTCAATAGTTGTCAGAGCTCTGCAGCAGACACACAGCAGCACAGCCACCCTTCACACATTTATGGAGCCAAGATAAATGTCCTCCACTTGGTTGATACACTAATTATCTACGCAGAACCACAAACATGTACCAAGAACCTGCTGGAACGAAATAACTACCATTGCTGGAATGAAAATAGTGATTGCTACTGGTTTTTTATTTTAACTCCACAGGCTCAATTAATTCAGACAAAGCTATAGCTGCAGAAAGATTCTTGATCCCAAGTGCAAAGAAAGAAATTTCCAAAGAGGAGCCAGAAAAGAATGGGATGTGCTGTACATGGGACACCAGGGGAGGAACCGCTGGTTTCTGAGAAGGGAAAGCAAACCTGCATGGTACAGGCCAAGGGGATTATGGAAAGTTCACAAAGCAAGAGAGGAAAAAGGAAACAGATCCTTCAGCCATGGGATAACACCTTATTAACTCTTCTAACCACCTCCAGCCTGTTTGTCGGGGTTTTTTGTAACAAGCTCCGCTCTCAATGTTTGCGTCCCCACAGCTTCAGAACTACTCAAGGCTTTTCTTCCCTGACCAATAAGGGTTTCTTGAGAGCCCCAAGACACCCCAAAAGAGCAGTGATCTCTTAGAGCAGCCTCATTTTTGAGAGCACAGCCGTTGCCTGTTAAAATTAAACACCGTGACATCAGTGACACGCGCGGGCAGAACATGCCCGAGCGCTCCAGCTGCTCTTGACCCAATTACGACTGGATGAACACAGTGGCCTGGCCAATTATCTCAGAACAGAACCTGGAAAGAGGATTCAGCTTCCTCATGGAAACTTTCTTTCCTCTCCTTCAGTGCCAAGCGCTGTATTTGATGTTACAGGGGTACGTTTTATTTCTTCTTCTTGCCCAAAGGTCAACGGTGGAAGAAGGAGCAGGAAAATGATCCAAGTCTGTACAGCAGCTGGAACATGGAAATCTTTGAGCTGGTTGAGGGCACGTGGCGGATGCTGGGGAGAGAAGGACATTCAAAGGACAAAGGGGAAATATGAGGGCACAACTGGCACTGCAGACACTCAGCCCCTCTGCTTCAGTTATTAAAATTTCCTAACCTTGTTATTTCATTCCACCAAGCAAACTGGATATATATTTTGTGACCTGAAGTCTTGCTTCAGAAAATCACTGATTCCATAGCAAGACTGCTTGTATTAAAACAAAGAAAGGTCTCCACCACGCAAGGAGCTCCCTGTTTCGTGAACTGATGGATAAACTAAAATTACTTAGGGAAGTGCGGAATGTATGAGCAAACTTAACAATGCTCCTAAAGAAAATCCAGATATCTAAATTAAACAGAAGTAGTGATTCAAAACTTGCCATTTAAAATAAACATAATCCTGCGTGATTAGCTACTGTTTAAAGAATAACAACATGATGGCAGTTCATAGAAAACACACAGGATTTAAAAGCCTACAAGAACACAGCATGGCATAAAAGCCTTTGTACTGCTTTGACTTTTATTGACCTACAAGTCAATTTACTCCTCCCCAAGCATTACAACCCCAGGTGAAAAAATCAGAGCAAGACTCCTAAAAATGGAGAAATCCAGGCGGAATGCAACCGTTACCCAGAAATTTATCATCGACACAAAAGGTGATACACCTCAATCAAATTCCTTTCTTGGAAATATATTAGACTTACGCTTCACAAAGAAATGATATTGTTTTATATTTAATTAGTATCTGGCATGGCACTCAAATCTTAATTTTTATATTCTAGTTGAGATTAAAGTCTTAATAAATTTATTTATATTTGAATAAAATCTAATTGTTTTGTATAGTGTCTTTCACACCTATGTGAAAGTAGACACCTTGGATATGCAATAAAAAAACTAAATTAATCTTTATAGTATTAGTAAAAGAAATTGATCTGCTGTACTCAGTCATAGCTGTCTTCAGGAATATAGTGAGAAATACGTATTTTAACCACATATATTAAGAAATATGTATCCGCTACTCTTTCATATGGAAAAGGATTTAAGAAAGACTTCCAGTGAATACCTTTAATAACAGTGCTTTCACATCATTCACCCAACACTGAGCAGATAGGTCCTTCAAACCCAGCTACTCATATGTGATTAACACTAATTATTATTTAAATTTTTCAAATAACCAACCTAGCAAATCCACTTTTCATTTCGCCAAGCAAAATGGCCTCCGTTCCTATTTCATCTCACCTTCGCTGCAACACAAAGCACTCCTAAAAATTACTGCTGTCAAAGATGGCTCCAATTTAACAGGTTTTTAAAATGCAGTGTTGTTAAACAGCCATTAAATGAGTGGGTTACCTTTGTTTAGAGCCTGAGAAATGTTTCATAAAGGATATTGGCCGTTAGTCACATCAGATGTCCAAAACACGCATTTTTAGCAAGCATATTTGAAGATTTAAAATAAAAATTATAAAAAATCTGGGCTATAATTCCATAAGAAACACCAGTGTTGTCTGTTGAGCTCAGTGCAAAGACAGAGGTGGATTTGAATACAAAGACCAGAGGAAGGAACGAAGAGCAATTTATTTTCCCAAATGGAAAAATCTGCGTCCTTGAAAGCTGGGAGAGTCTCACTAGAATTTAAACAAACAACAGCTCTTCTTGTCAAAGCAACTGCCTTTTCTTCCCTGATTTACATGTCATTCTCATGGCAGCAATGTTCAAATGACTGTACAGGGATATTCAAACTACAAAGAAAAGCTCTGTAAAAAGGCCAAACTCTGCTTTTCAGACTGTTCAGATTCCCCCAATAGCTGTGAAAATTCCCAGCTTTCCACAGAGCACCTGCAGCAGCATCGTTGATCCCCCTGCAAACAGAAAGCACAACCAAACTTTGGGCTCCAACCTCTGCCAGAAAGGACCCCCAAGAGCACAAACCAGAGCTGGACTTAGAGACGCCTCCCAATTCTCAGGATTTGCTGAAGAGAGTCCCTTTCCTTTTGTATCCAGTGTTACAGAGCAACAGAGGAACTGGGGTGGGCAGTGGTGTGTAGACAGAATAATTCTATATTTTTGTTCATTCCAAAACTGCCATCCTTTAACGTAGGAATTACAGCTCTGCCTTTGTCCGCAAAGAATATAACAACGGCAGAAATGCAGGTGAGAGGAGGCTACAGTTCTGAAAAGACACTCGCATACAGATCCAGAGCTGAGATGAATCTATCTTGGGCCAAAAAGAAAAAATGCAAAGATAAAAACCAATCCCTTGAACCATTTAAGGCTTTGTTCGCTCTTACAATGCAGCGGAAAATAAAAGGCAAGGTTTAATTTTTTTTTTTCAGAGGCCACCTGAGTATCCCCTGCCCAAGTGTTCTCACAAAGTATATCCCGTTTTCATTGGAAACCACAATGGTGGAAATGGAGAAATAAGTCCTGGCTTTGCAATATACCTCTCAACCTCCCCCAAGAAGCCGTTTGCTTCCTAATGGACTTCCTTAAGCCAGATTTCGATAGTCTGAGCCATCAAAAGTAAAAAAAATCAACTGATTTCAAAAGTCAATTTTCAATTCAGTTTCATTTAGCTTCATTGGAGGTGTTAGTAAAAGCCACAGCCTACCAGTCTACAGGAAAGTAGAGTGAAAATGCCTCTTAGTCCGAGCCTAACATCTCCTAGGGAAGGTGGTGGTGCGCGGAAAACGTGTCACTAAAGATGCTTTACCAAAATGTCCAGTTTGGGTATAAAATAATCCGTGCGTGATAAGCAATTCTAACGCTGATCAGGAAAGATTATTTTCTGTAAACTCTTTAAACTAGAAAATCACCTTAGTTTTTAGAATATTGCCATTGCAGGCCTTTTTAATAAAGGCTCTTAGGAAAATATACCCCGCCGCCCTTACAAAATACATTGAAAAAAAGGCAGTAAGATGGTTTTTGAAGTGAAAACTCATAAAGATCATTTTCCATGCTGACAGTGTGCATTTCATCCAGAAGTTTGAAGAGTCAAATGCTACCTCAGCTGGGGGTTATTCTGCCAAATGGCTTCCAACAGTGACCACAGAGATGGAGGATGGGAGGGGTACGTGTGTGTAGGAAAATAAACGTGATGGTAAGCGACCCCAAACCCACATCATCTTATCAAACATCCGACACACGGAACCAAACGCACAATGCAAATCTAGAATACAAAAACTGAAACAAAAAAGACATGAACAAAAGGAAATAAAGCCATTTGTGAGTTACCTGCAGAGATTTAAAACAAAAAAAAGCACACGAACGAAGCAGATATAATTCACATGGATTTGCCCAGGAAGAAGAAAAGGAGGGGTGAGTGTGAGGGCTGGGGGGAAAAAGAACAGATACCTTTTTTTTCTTAAACAAATCCATCATGAAAGAAAATGAGACAAGATTATAAATAGGCCGAGTTATAGCGCACCATGGGATTTTTAATCTGGCTACCTGTGGTTTTTGCAGTTAAAGCCCTATTCAGCAGTAGGAAGGGAGGGGGGAAAGCGGAAAAAGAAAAAAAGGAAAAAAAAGAAAATCGAAATCACGTTTATGTGCCAGTTTCGCAAATGCTCCCCCAGCGAGCACCACCAACAATGCTGGCAAACAGGAAACACTCATTATCAGCAATTTCTAATAAGCGGGCGCCTTTCAAGCGCTATTGATCGTTACCTGGCCGTCTCGCTTCCTGCAGTCCTGAGTTTGGCTCTCGTGCTCTGCCATGGCAGCGCGAAGCTGCTTCTCCAGTTTCTCCATCTCCCGTTGATGGTCTCGGACCAGGCATTCGTGCGCTGTGTTGTGCTGCTGGAATAGGTGCGTCTTCTCCTGTTCATGCTCCAGCTTCAGCTCCACTATCTGATTGGACAGGGAGGAGTACAGTTCATCAATAGAACATCCTTGTCGTCATGACAACTCGTCTACAGCTTAATTTCCCCCTTAATTTCATCAAGTTGGCAATTTTATTTTTACGTCACTATTACCTCACCTCTTAAAAAGCCACCGTTAGCGTGACAGAATTCCTCCAGACAATTCCAACAATGGAGACAACCGAGCAAATCCAGCGCATCCTTACCCAATTTGTTGGTACAAATGTCGGAAGCGTACGAAAAAATAATATTAAAAAAAAAAAAAAAAAAAAGAAAAAAAAGGGGAGGCATTGTCGCATTGTGTGGCGGG